ATGTATTTTCAGCCTTGTATCACCATCACTGCTGGTGATCCGATGGATAAAATCTTTTGTAGAGTCGTCACTGGTTCAGACGTACTTATAATATAATTATTTAAGTGACTGCATCATACATTAATTTGTAAGATCCTTTACAATAGATAATTCAGCTGATCTGTAACAATTCCATCTTCATGCCTTATTTATTATGTACTGTGTTACGCCGCTAGATAAAAACTGACTAGGAACGGTAACACCCGGCCACCGAAAGCTTTATTCTTAGAGCCTAGGTGGTCGAGTGGTTTAGCGCGTCGGGCATAGTGCAAGGCGATTTGGTGCCACGATATCTCAGTAGCATGAGTTCGAATCCCGGCCAGGGAAGAACAAAAAATTTACGTCCGCAAATTTACAGATCTAAAATTGTTGGGCTTTTGTATAGACGAATTATACATACAGAATGTATTTTCAGCCTTGTATCACCATCACTGCTGGTGATCCGATGGATAAAATCTGTTGTAGAGTCGTCACTGGTTCAGACGTACTTATAATATAATTGTTTTTGTGACTGCATCATACATTAATTTGTAGGATCCTTTACAATATATAATTCAGCTGATCTGTAACAATTCCATCTTCATGCCTTATATATCGTGTACTGTGTTACGACGCTAGATAAAAATTGACTAGGAAAGGTAACACCCGGCCACCGAAAGCTTTATTTTAAGCCGGAGCCTAGATGGTCGATAATCTAGCGCGTCGGGCATAGTGCAAGGCGATTTGGTGTCACGATATCTCAGTAGCATGAGTTCGAATCCCGGCCAGGGAAGAACAAAAAATTAACCTCCGCAAATTTACAGATCTAACATTGTTGGATTGTTGTTTAGACGAATTATATATGTATCACCATCACTGCTGGTGTTCCGATGGATAAAATCTGTTGTAGAGTCGTCACTGGTTCAGACGTACTTATAATATAATTATTTCTGTGACTGCATCATACATTAATTTGTAGGTTCCTTTACAATAGATAATTTAGCAGATCTATAACAATTCCATCTTCATACCTTATATATCATGTACTGAGTTACGACGCTAGATAAAAACTGACTAGGAAAGGTAACACCCGGCCACCGAAAGCTTTATTTTTAGAGCCTAGGTGGTCGAGTGGTCTAGCGCGTCGGGCATAGTGCAAGGCGATTTGGTGCCACGATATCTCAGTAGCATGAGTTCGAATCCCGGCCAGGGAAGAACAAAAAACTTGCTTCCGCAAATTTACAGATCTAACATTGTTGGGCTGTTGTTTAGACGAATTATATATATATAAAAAAAAAATATATATAATCACAGAAACTTTCTGTGACTGTATCTTGCATTAATTTGTTGGATCCTTTACAATAGATATTTCAGCTAATCTGTAACAATTCCATCTTCATGCCTTATATATCATGTACTGTATTACGACGCTAGATTAAAACTGACAAGGAAAGGTAACACCCGGCCACCGAAAGCTTTATTTTTGTGAAGCCTAGGTGGCCGAGTGGTCTAGCGCGTCGGATCCAGTGCAGGCGATTTGGTGTCACGATATCTCAGTAGCATGAGTTCGAATCCCGGCGAGGGAAGAACCAAAAATTTGCGAAAGCAAATTTACAGGTCTAACATTGTTGGGCTGATGTTTAGACGAGTTTATATTGAAAACAACGTTCAAACCTATGATTGCGTTGGATAAAAACCGCAATTTTTATACGTGTGCATGCAAAACAAATTTCTTATTAGAGGGGTCTAAATACAGCACAAACAACATTTTCCAAAAGACCAAAATAATGAAAAAGTATATTTTAACAAAACGCATTTGACTAACAATTTGTACAAAGTCAAAATACAAGTTATAATTTGTACATTTTTTTTGTACAAATTTTAATTTGTACAAAATTATAACTTGTACACAACATATATATATATTGTAAAACATACAGGTCAGATACTTCGCCATGTCTAAAGACCTAATGACCGAAATTCATCGCTAACTACGTTATATAAAAACCAGTCCAATCACAGTTTAACTTTTAATATCTATAATTCATTTTAGATTTAAGGATTAGCACATTTTTGCAAAAATGTTTTTGTTTCATAATCTTATAATCGCATTTCTATTAATTAGTAGTTATTAGAACACTGTGCATGCGTATTGAGGTAATATGTTTCATATTAGCTATAACATGTAATATAGCACCGGTAGAACTGAAACAAGACGGACCCATTTCAGACTGCAAGGTGGAAGTCAAAATGCATTTATACTAAGACATAAGGCAGATGATACCAAACGATAATAAAAAAAAAATCACAAGCCAAGAAAAAATCTGACAGTGTCATAAAAGAAAAATGAAAAACGACGGAATTGCAAACAACAGTAAAAGAACACTACATTATTAAACCAAAGACCGAGAAACACGACGGACCAATGTATTACATATTTATCAGGAATGTTTCAACAAAAAATCTAATACATTCACCAAAATCTGAGGTGATATCAGATTCTCCGGAAGGATAAGCTGTTACTGTGTTCCATATGTGGCACCCGTCGTGTGGCTCATGTCAAATGCAAATTCGGTGATGAATCTAATTCGGTGATTTTGACCATATATATAAACAAGTCTAAACAGTAAACAACGTTCAAACCTATGATTGCGTTGGATAAAAACCGCAATTTTTATACGTGTGCATGCAAAACATTTTTTTTTTTGTAGAGGGGTCTAAATACAGCATGTGCTTAAAGCATTAATCATTATTTATCATAAACAATATTTTTCATATTATATAGTCGTCATTAATTAATTTGCTAAATTTATCATTTAGGGTTCCGAAAGACCTTGTGAAGGATGATATTCGTAGCGATCTTGGTTAGTTTACTGTCCACTTCATGTGGTAAGTGTCTAAATACTATAGATATTTAGCAGATCAGCTTTTCACAATTTCTATGACTGCATTTTCTCAAATAAACTATATGTATCTAGTGAAAAATTTTGTAATAGTTTGCAATGATAGATATAAATAAAGTTAACTTTTCTTGCGGGAAAGGAATAACGGGTAAATCAAGGTTTTTGTCTAATATTCCCAAGGGTATTCTTTTTATTGCACATTGGACCACTGCAGGATTTATGATTTGAAGTATTATAACTTTTTTTTTATCTCGGCTATAATTCTAACAAGTTCGTTTTTGCAAATGGATAAATCTCTAAAACGTTTAAAAAGATAAATTGCCAAATATTATCTGATATTAGAAATTCCCGTAATGTTAAGCGAATACCTATTTGATTGATTGACTCCCTACACATGTTTCGCATTTAATACCTTTAATATGACCGGACACCCACTTTAGTATTTGTTTAACTGTTGTACGTGAGAAATCCAAAGGATGATCATATTTGTATTCCACTGTCAACCGTTTTGATGCCCCATTTAATGTAAGAAGAGAAACATCCACATGAGAATAGCTAATCCTATTCGAAGAAATTGACTTAATGTATTATTTTTTAGTTGTGCTTGTTATACTCTGAAAAGAAAAAAAGAAAATGATCAGGAGAAATAAAAAATAAGAACTGTAATATAGTTTATAATTTAAAGATTTTCTGAACCTTTTACCAGACCATTCACTGGTTCAGGAGGAGTTCTAAATTCAAAAACCGAAATGGTAAAACTGATGTTTTGCTTGATAGACCTGAAAAAAAAAAGAAGAGAGCTGCAATGGCTTTAACACTGGAAAATCAACCCTATGATTGACTGTAATCTTTGAATATTCTATTTTGTTGTGAAAATCCAAGAATTCAATATTAGATGTATATTAGATAAATCTGCTTACTATCATTTTAACATTCTGTGAGATTAATTTGGTGATAAGGGGAACCTAAAATGTCAAACAAAGTTCAACAAGGTGTGCTTTATACTCAAAATTTCACATAGAAATAAAAGTAATAGTGATCGGTTCACTAAAACAGTACTCTATAACTTGTCATCTATATGAATTATCGCATCGGTGGTCTGGAGATAGCCCAATCTGATTAAAATTCAGATCTGTGACAACTCGTGCCGAAGAGCAAAACGCAATCAGAGATCTATATTTTAATTAGGAATCGAAAGTAAACACGTTTAAATTAGTACTGGCATTTATAATTTATAGCAACAACGGGTTGCTTTGAAGTCAAAATGAGCACGGATAGGAGATCTGGAATATACGCTAATCCGCAGTCAAGCCAACGACAAAAATAACCAAATAATTTAGAGGTCAACATAAATTATAATCTTCCACAAATACAAGTTCCGTACAATATGTAAAGTTCTAAATCGCAGGGATAGAAAAGAGTGAATATATGAACTAAACCTATAAAAAAAAAATGCCTTCAATATAAATTTGAGGGGTTCCTGACTTGGGATAGCCACGTGCATTTTTTTGGCGGGTTTAAATTTGTATTTTGAAACCGCACAATAAAAATCTGTCCAAAACACTTCAAGACATAACAAAAACACAAGTACCCTTAGAACAATAATAAACCATATTATATGGTATCAAAGAGTACTCATTACTGAAAGCAAGCTCATAGAAATTTACCTGATTTGAACTACACTCTACTGTTGTGACTGTACTTCATAGTAGATTTCCTACATTACGTCATTAGGTACTAAAAGACAGGACCTTGTTTCAACGCCTTTAACAAACTGATCAGAAATTCAATACAGAAAAAAGGACAAATAGTTAAGTCTTGCTTCAAATAAAACTTAAGAGAGTTGATATTTATCACGAGAAAAAAACAAAACTACAAGACACAGTTATGGAAAATATTTAGATATTAAAATATACATATTAAATTGTATTTCGATTTCGTTTTTTAAAAATGACTTTAAATATCCACAATAACCTTATATCACGTTTTGAGATAAAAATGATTCCAGAATCTGGCTCAATTCAATTTTGTCTGAATGAAAACGGAAAACGCAAATGTGATCAAAGGTACTGAATATTCATGGACAACATTGACTTATGTTATTTATATTTGAAATATGACATTGTAGGAATAAGTGCACCAGATAACAGAGGAACAGAATTTGTCATAGCCTACATGGATAATTATTTATCCGATTACGAATTGGAATTATTCGTAACGACATCACGTACAACAACGGTAAACGTCGAAGTCACGTCACCTAAATGGACCAACCCATCTGTCAACGAAAAATTCACAGTAACTGCCGGCGTTGTCAAACAACTTTATATTGACCTTAAATTGCGTTTGGAAGGAACAGTTAACGAGGCAAAAGGTATTCTTGTGTCTGCAGACGATGAGGTGGTTATTTATGGTGTTAACAAACAAAAGTATTCCAACGATGCTTTCCTTGGTCTCCCCGTGGATGTCCTATCAGATGAGTATTTTGCTGTTACATATTATCCACCTTACCGTATGGCACAACTATGTGTTGTAGGTGTAAGCGACTCGACCAATGTTCAAATAAAGCTGCCATCCTGCTCAAATTGTGGAAGCGTAACCTATAATGGAAAGAAATACTCGAAAGGTAATACAATCTCTATCAATATGAACAGATTTGATGCAATTCAGCTTCAAAGCACAGGTGATCTTACTGGAGCTTATATAACTAGCGACAAGCCTGTTTCAGCATTCAGTGGAAACAGAAAGACAAACACGGGATCAGGAGGCAGTCAGGATCACTTGGTAGAGCAGCTGACTCCAGTTAATACGTGGGGAAAGAGGTTTGCAACTGTTCCTACACCAGCAAGAACAACTGGAGATTACTTTAAATTTATTGCTAGTGAAGATTCCACTAAAGTTACCTATAAATGTAACAAAAATGGGAAAATAACGACAAATTCATTCACCTTATCTAAATTAGGTGACCAAAAACAAATTTCTATCGACTCCAAAAGCTACTGCTATATGAAAGCAGATAAACCAATACTTCTAGTAATGATTGTTAAAAGTCAATTGTCATCAGCGGAACCAGCTGATCCCGCTATGCTTATAATTCCACCTATAGAACAATATGCTGCCGATTACACATTCACAACACCTAAATATAGTGGAGGAAGTTACGAAAACTTTTTCCTATTTGTGGTGAACGAGGCAGATAAAAGTGGACTAAAAATCGATGGAGGTTCTTTCCCATCTAACACTGCCTACTACGATATTCCAGATACCGATCTTGTTGGAGGGTACATTTCAGTATCGGATGGATCACATACTGTTCGTCATACCTCACCTATTTCTATTTTTGGGGGATTTCTTTATGGAAAGGCAAACCTAGAAACATATGGATTCACTACAGGAATGAGAATGGCAAAAATCAATTCGGTATGTTAGATATATTTCAAGTCTTGATTACTCAAATTATATAGAACTTTTTCCATGAACTTCACAACTTTAACTTCACATTTAATTGTTTTCTTTGGTATTAGACTTGCTTGCATTTACGTGTTTAGTTTTTATGAGAAATTATGACCAGGTATTCACCAAATCCTCTTCCTATATCTTTTTTAAAATAACCACTGCACCAACTTTAGCGCAACTACATGGCCACTGAAACATGAACATTTCTCTTAATGTAACAGCCTATCCGGATGACAAGGGTGAATGTCATCATATGATATGACTTTTAGATATCTATGAAATGAACAATGCCATAGAACTCGGAATATCAAGTCCATCTCTCATAGAGCGGGAAATCATATTCAATCTTTTGCATCTATTTTATAGTACTTGCAATAAAACCATACTGAACATTGCTAAAGATATATTTAAATCTGTTTCATATTTCGACTTACACCTAGATATTGACAATGAGGTTCGATTGAAAACTAAACTTTAAGTGAAAAGAGATGATTTCAATTTTCCCTTTGTGAACTTTCGATTTCTAGGTAACAACATTCAAGCAGCATCAGAAAATGTCATACCAATTTCGAACTAGACAGGGGATTTTAGGGTTAAAATATACAAAAAGAGAATGATGGGCAAACAAAATAAAGAATAGAGAATAATGTCCTTAAACTATTGAATACAGAAACGAAGGACCCCTATCCGGACTCTCATAGTGGGATATCTTTTCTCTTCAACAAATCTTATGAGTCTTTATTTCCTGAGCAACAGATGATGATGATAATGATGATGATGATGATGATGATGATGATGAAGTAAGTTTTATGCTTCGCTTTCAATTACAGATATGTGTGCCGACTTCTACAGTCGTCGGTGATGGTATTGACAACGATTGTGATGGACTTATTGATGAAGAACTGTGTACATCAGAAAATAAAAATAAAGGTAGTTTTAAAATATGACAAATAGGTAATTTGATTTTTTAGTATTCTGTGTTATAGTTATAGATCACGTGCTATTTGTGAAAGGAATTCAAATATAACTCCATTGTTATTTAATGCGTAGTTCATAGAAACCTGTAGACACAATGATAAAAACATTGTTAAAAATTTTGTTTTTGATCTGAGAAATTTCTTTGGCGTATAGGGTATAGCGATCTACCGAAGACGATACGATTTTGTGAGAAAATGGGTGAGGCTTAACAGTTACATGACAATAGTCATATCGTTAGAACGTTGTTTTTTAAATGTTAAAATATACTACTCCATAGTGTAAATACGGAACACCACCATCTCATAAAAATCTGTCTCATAATCGAAGTTTAGAAACTAATCGTTTTTGCCCAGTTCTTATTCTTTTCCTTTTCACACACTTAAAATTGACCACAGCAGTTTTCAAAACTTTCGGTTTAAAAGGGAGGAGCTTCATTACTTTTACAGAAACGATGAATTTTAAGAATAATTTACGGGATGATGTCTCCAGAGACCAGCTGTGTTTGGTCACGATATACCCTATATATATATCCTATCATTTTTTAGGATTTGGTCCTTTAAGGGGATTTCCATTCATTTTTGGTTTTAATATGGGTTTTAAAAAACATTAAATGAATAATACAGGCTCAAACAGGTGGATTTTTAAGGCAGTTTCAATCCAGGCACAGTGATACGCAATTGGTGGTTTTGTAAATAAAAAAGAGACAAGGTCACAGTTCAAATCTGTTTCAGTAATAACGATTTGTTTAATACTCTGGATTGGAATACTATATAAAATAATTTTAATGAGCTAAAACTAGAAATTTCTTTAGAAGTGACTATGTAACTCGAGTCTAGACAATAATGAAAACTGGAAATTTCAAATTGATTATAGATTACAAATAAATCCAGATCTACGAGGATTTTCTCTGAATACCGTAGACTAATAATGTGGCAGGAACTCATCGTATTTTTAATTTCATACTTTTAATTTTTTTTTATCATGACTAATTAAAGTTTGAATTAAGCTTTAATTCATTCAATGACTGACGATTTAGCGTCTAATATTGCGCTTATTTAGGATGGTATGTTGTTACCTTACTATTCGTGTTTTGGTTTTTGAGTCTTCCAAAACATATGACATACGGGTTCTTTTTTATTATACAGATGACGATGGCGATGGTGTATCAGAAGAAGATTGTGCAAAACCGCCACCAAGTAAGTACATGTAGTATTGGTTAAGGCAGATGATTGAAATTTACACATGCATTTAAAATTGCAAATTGTAAGTCATAAATCAAATGGATGAAACGCTTGTTAATTTGTATACTCATTTGAATAACGTACATGTATGACGTCGATGAAAACTGGAATTATATACATATTTTTAGATGCATCAGCATCTTTCTTGTAAAAACACAAGTGTGGACACATATCAAATAGTTTGGTTTGAGTTTTGTTAAAACAATATTTATGACGAGTACATGTTGGTTGTGAAATCTATTGGATGTTTTACATGTTGGTTGTGAAATCTATTGGATGTTTTTGATAACTGATTCCAACAATTTACTCAATTTCATTTTCTTTGCTTAATTTCTGGGACATCTTACACAATATTGAGTTGTCAATACAACTTGACATATAACAACAGCATATGAAGAAGTACGAACGAATTCTCAATTACAGTTAACGGTGCTTGGGCAGATTGGGCATTGTGGGGAAGTTGTTCAGTATCATGTAATCCTTCCGGCCTTAGCGCGACTGGAACATATACTAGAACAAGAACCTGTTCTAATCCAGAGCCAAAGTATGATGGAACACAGTGCGTTGGTGACACAAGTCAATCAAGCTCCTGTTCACCGACCATCTATTGTCCAAGTAAGTGATATGTTACTACTATTAATTGGTATTCTGATAATTCTATTTTTTATTTGAGGAGGTGGAATCAGACGGAACTTTAACAGTTGGTATTACGTCTAATGGCTTTGCAGTTGATATGCAAATGAATATATATTTCAAGTACCAAAAAGTTTATATCATTAACACCTAGCATAAACTATGTCTTATCAAATAAATGCAGTACTCATACCACAACAGAAGTGATAGCCTAAAATAGAATTTACCAATCCTAATTTACTAATAAAAGTATCCAATAGATTGTAAGCACATAAGAATACATTATATTTTGTTGACATCCCACTTTTGAGAGATTCTTAGATCTGATCATCCCACCTAGTATGTTTCAGATATCTTTTTTGTTTATATCGTGTCTTTGAACACTCTTAGCTAAGCAAATCTTTCGTGTATATTATTGTTTTTATTCTTTATTTATTTCAATTGTTTATCTCTGATATTGTTTCAGACTAATTTTTAGCAGGAAAATGTATTTCACTAAGTTTTTTCGAAATCATTGTATACACAAGTGAAATCGGTGGTGCAAGTTGCCATAAAAATATCTTTGACCAGACGTCATTATTTTATATTAAGAAACTGTTTTATTAAAAATAAATAAAATATGATACACTGAATAGAAAAAGAACACCAAGTGTTTTAGAGATAAGAAATATAACAAACGCGTGCCTGTAATACTACATTTGAAGCCTGGTCTATATGGCAAGTTTTTACGTGTAATAAACATTTAAGTTGCTTGTCGATCCACAAAAAGTTTAGTAACACTGGCTGCACTCAAATTTATAGTGTATACATAATGTAGTCGAACGTGAGAAATAAGAACAAATATCTTTTATCACTTAAAATTGAGTGATCTTAAAGAGTACATCTTTGAAGGTATAGGAATAAGTTAAATGAAAGACAAATTTTTCCAGTTGATGGAAACTGGGGATCATGGGGTTCTTATGGATCATGTTCAGTAACTTGTGGAACAGGAGATCAAACAAAGACAAGATCGTGTAATAATCCTACTCCTGCACACAATGGGCAACAATGTAGTGGTTCAGGGACTAGCTCAAAACAGTGTACCATGGTAGCATGTCCAGGTAAGGATTTGTTTAATGTTTGCTTTATTTATTCCATTTAATGCTTGATTCTTGTCTGGTCTTTTATAACTGGCTTTAAAGCATTTCATGAAATCAAATAATAGTAAATTGTAATAGTTAATGCTTTTAACGCAGAGCAAAACAATTACACATGTCAGTTGAGGGATACATTAGTTAAAAAAATAGGGACGTTAGGTAAAATAATACACATTTGCCTTATACATACTTTGCCTCGACTGTGTACTTAGTAAGTTGTAAAATTAAATAAAATAAACTACAGATGGCAAGAGACCCCCCTTAATAGACATATATATTTTCGTAGCATATTTTAAGTTTCTGTATAAAATGGTATTTTATATTTAAAATTATGTAAATGTTATCAAAACTTTAACAATTGAAATATAAGAAGGGTATACAAAAGTAATGCTTACTAAACCAATAGAACGAAAGTTAAACCTCGTTTTGGAGCAATGCTATTTTTTTCTTACCATATATTGCAGTAAATGGTAACTGGGCAGATTGGACGACATGGACCTCTTGCTCTTTGAGTTGCGGAAGTGGTAGCCAAAGTAGAAGTAGAGCATGTTCAAACCCAGCACCAGCTAACAACGGATTGGACTGCAGTGGCTCCGGCTCAGAAAGTAAAACTTGTACACTTATTGCTTGTCCTAGTAAGTATGTATATGTATATCAAATGCATTCAGACTTGTTCAAGTTGATATTCGTTTTGTCTTAGAAGCAACACTTGTACATGATGATCTTAAGCACTGTGCAGATACTTTTGCTTTTAACATAGAAAAAATGTCTTCCAAATATACAAGGAATGTTTTCCCGTAGCCAATGGTTATAGTGGTCGTAGATAAATGTTCATGAACTCTAAATTATGACCGAGATACACAATTAAGTCCAATTCAAATGCCTTTTAAATTGTAGGGTTTGGCTAAAATTTAGATAAATGATAGCTTCATATCTCAAGAGTTGGTATACAACATATCGTTGAAGGTCTGTATAGTCCAGTGTTAGACAATTTTCTGTCGAATGCTGTCGCTCTTATACACATGTGTATCTGATTTACCACTTCTGTCCTGAAGCTTTCGGAATATAATGATAATAAGTCCGGCTGTCTGTTTGTCCTTTCGTTCGTCTTTTCGATCGTCCGTTTGTTTGTCCGACATTCCGTCAACTTTTGTATCCGGAACTGACCCTGAAACTCGATAGGATTTTATGAAGCTTTTCGAAATAAAATTACTCACATGATGTTTTTTTCACAATCTATTTAATTTCTTACCGCAATGATTATCCGACTTATTATTGTGATATGCCTTAGCAAATCATTTACTTGTCATTGCTTAATCTGGGGTTCACCCATTGTTATCTGTAACTCTTAAAAAAATCCATTGTAACAACTTTAAGTTTTGTTTTTGTGATTCGGAGCAAGGATCCAGTTGCTTTTATTTTGTTGATGGTGGCACCAATTCGTGAGTTTTGTACTTCTAGTTTTAATCATGGCGTTGTACGTCTTTTTTTGAATTATAATTCTTGAATGCATCTTAGCAATCTTTTTTTTACAAACTGTTTCCATGACGATTGGATGCGTATAATTTGATAAAGCCTTATCAGCATTTACGGACATTATTTTTATAAACCTTAAAGTTTATAATATAATTTATTTCCTATTCTTGCATTGATGAACGTTTGTTTGTTTTGAGATATTAGCATTGTTAAATCAATCATACCGAAAACTCAACGAATGCTAAGCAATTTGTTTGTCTCATCAACATTTCGTCGTGTGAATCTTATAGTGTTATATGTCCACTTTTAATAAAAATGGAGATAGCTATATATTTGAGATCCAAGTGCAATGATCTATCTCCCTATACAGGTATTTTACGAGATTTCTAACTCTACGAGTTTTTGTCAGAACTGCACTGTTCTATCTTCACACTCCCATTGGATTATTTTTACAGTGTTGTATCTCCACTATTTCTCATGTATTTTTGCTGTTAAATAATTGTCATCAAAATTATCTTAGTTCTACTATGATTAAATGGATTGCATTGTTTGAACTCAATCCATTAGCAATTCTTAGCAAATCAAGCAGTACAGAATTGGTGATATTACAAGTAAAAAATCCATGGGCTATCTCCAATGGCAATATAGAGATAAATTTATAGAACTACATTGTTTGTAGTGATATGTTTTTTCTCCAAAAAAAGGGATGCTTTTTTAATCTAGGTTGCTTGTCTATTAACAAACAATTGATCAAAGCGAAACTCTCCATGTACTTAAATTCGATTCTTATATAAATTTCTCTATGTCTCAGTCAAATATTTATGATATTGAGCTTTTAAACTTTGGTTTAAATTTACCAGATGGGAAATACATCATTATTAGATTCTAACGACGATTTGGTATACATAAGAAATGCTACAATACTAGTATCTAAATCGTCTTGGAGGTATGAATTAATCACATTTGCCGTCATTGGAAGAATAACAGTTTATCAGAAAAACGGACCGATGTCTGACTAATCATGTGCATACAAGGAAATACCGACACCAATTCTTTATGTTTTATTCTTGTCTGCAGTTGATGGTCAGTGGGGAAGCTGGGCTTCATGGGGAGGTTGTTCTGTGACTTGTGCAAGCGGAACTAAAACGAGACAACGCCAGTGTGATAGTCCTGCACCACAGCATAATGGCCAAAGCTGTAGTGGTTCGGGTACAGAAACAAAGACATGTACAAAAGTTTCTTGTCCAGGTACGTTCTGATACAAAAAAAACTATGCCTTAATTTACAGAAGGGGTTGTGTTTATGTGTTTGTGTGTGATTTCAATACAAGTATATTTGTCCCCCCCCCTACATAACGCACCGCAACCGCAGAACGAGAACGAAAAAAATACTAGGAGTGCGTCTATGCATAGTCCATCCGTCCGTCCGATCTTCCGACCGGCCTTTTAGTGCTCTAACGGTTACATTTCTTATCTCCAGTTTTTATGAAGTAAATGCAAAAGATTTGTATCAGCAACATCAGAAATGTCTTGGGTGCTTGTTCATAAATCCGCGTCAATCACCTATTTTTACTGGATTTATAACCCATGGAAATATCAATTATATTTGAACATGAACTTTTAGCGGTCTCAATCCATGGTTTCTATAAAAAAAAATAAGACATTTATATTTGATATTTATCTCGTTGATGTCTTGGAGAAGATAACAAAACAGTACCGATCAATCAATGGCCTTTGGAAATGTAAATAATAAGACGAACTGCAGTAGGCACTCTCACACCTAGGCTTCTTGTCAAGTTAAATGTTTATATCAAAGATTTATATTAGAAATGTCCCAATTCAATTGGAAAATAGGTTCCAATCAACTATTTATAAGATATTTATCATTCTTGGAAATTCAAATTATATGGAAAACCTGCATTGTTAGCGTTCTTATGCCGATTTTTGTGACATTTATATCAAATGTTTGTCTTAGGAAATTTTGGAGAACTACGAGCATAAAAGTACCATTCCACTGCACCAAATGCAATTTTTGACAATTAATGTATTTTTTTTCCCTACTCGATGGTCAAAAATCTTATACAAACGCCGAAATAAAACCATTTATATTTGATGTTTATCTTGTTTATGTCTTGGAGAAGATAACAAAACAGTACCGATCAACCAATGGCCTTTGGAAATTTGGAAATTTAAATAATATGACGAAAGTGATGATAGTGTTTATCAATTTATTTGAAAATATGAAAGAGAACCATGTACATGTACCATCATAGCTATATCAAATATTCAATTTAACCCGTCTTTATAATGTTAAGACTGATGAGACTTGGCCTCGGGCAGTATAAACAAATCACTCCTTGTAAAGGTGACATCATGTCCAATAAATCGAAATTTTTCTAAGATTTTATTGTTAAAAATGCATCAACGATTTCTACAAAAACAAAATTAAACGATTGTACCTTGTAAATGTTTCATTTGAAACTGTAGTTGATGGTCAGTGGGGAAGCTGGGTTTCATGGGGAACTTGTTCTGTAACCTGTGCAAGCGGAATCCAAAACAGACAACGCCAGTGTGATAGTCCTGCACAACAACATAATGGATTAGACTGTGTTGGTTCGGGTACAGATACAAAGACATGTACAAAAGTAGCATGTCCAGGTACGTTCTGATATACTGTGGATTCATTATTATTCGTTGGATACCAATTTTCGTGGATTTCGTGGATACCCGGGAACCTCTAATTTCAATGTCCAACAAATTACAAATTTTCTATAGGAATTTATGCAGACTTTGGCAAAACCTCGAAATAAAATATCCACGAAAATGCAAGTTTTCCTCAATTCACGAAAATTGGTACCCACGAAAACAAATGAATCCAAAGTATTTAAATAATTCTGCAGCAAGTCTCTTTTGTCGAATATAAGAAACGGATCAACAAAGATATTATAATTAAGTTCCTTATTATTATTTCTGACTGAAAATAACAACTATTATAACAACTGTGCATTATGAATGACTCTTTTTTTCATTAATACCAGTCTGTTTCACATGTCTATGAAAGCATTTTCAGGTATTATAAATTAGAAAATCACAAAGAAAATAAATGAAAATAGAGAAAGTTATGTTTTGTAAAATGTTCAACTCAGATAATTGTAACAACTTGCTTTCAAAAGCATTTGCTGGGGCTGTCTGCACGACATAACTTACAACAGAAATTAACATAAAACCGTAAACCTAAATCAGTCGTTATTGCTTCATTGAGGCAGACTTGAAATACTATTTGTGTTCATTAATTTCAAATTCATTAAAGCTTACTCGAAATAATCTTCGTACGGTTTGTTCGGTGCCAACACTCTCTGTTTTTGTTATTCAATCTTTACTTTTCTGTGTTGTGTTTTTATAACGTCGACAGTCTTTTCGTATTATTTCTTTTTATCCATGGTATTTTCTGTTTTTATCGGACAAACGAATTTTTTTATAGCCCCTTTGATCTCGTCTATCTTTTTTTAAAAACTATTTGTATTTTTTGTTCAAATTGCAAATTCTCTCTTAATCATGTTTGCAGTCAATGGTAATTGGGGAAATTGGGCTTCATGGGGAACATGTTCAGTAACCTGTGCAAGTGGAACCCAAACAAGACAGCGTCAATGTGACCAGCCAGCACCACAACATAATGGACAGGACTGCGGTGGATCGAATACAGATACACAGATTTGTACACAAATAGCTTGCCCAAGTATGTTTACATTTATTTAGACGGGCATTTTTCTTGTAGAAACCAAGACATGTCAAGAAACGTGTTTTACCAAAATATTCTTTACAGGAATTTCAAAACTCTGTAACGTCACAGTTCTCAAATTGCACCGAGTACCCAAATTGCACCTATTTAGCAAAAAATAAAAAAAGAAGCGGAAGTTTTTTTTGAGAGACTAAGCATTTTTTGACATTATGCACGTCTTTCAACATAACTAAATATATGAAGATATGCATAAAACTTTCACAGTATATATCAACAGATGAAGTATTCATTGGAAAAAGTAAAATCTATAGAAACGTCTTTTAAAAATAAGCAGATAAAATATGTTACAGGCATCCATTTCTTAAAAAATGTATAGTAAGCATGAGCTAATGTCTAATTGTTCTAAATATTTGAAGAAATAAAACAAAACATCTGTTATTCGATTTTTAAGGAAGTGAATTTCAGCATGGAAGCAATTTGGGTACTCCTCATTACAGAATCATGGATCGTTTGGAGGTCGGTTCAAACCCATTTTGTTGTGATTCAATTTGGATTTAAAATTATATAGTAAATAAGGATACATCTACAAAAGTCCAGAATGGAAACGCTTGTCTGGATCATAAATAAACGTAGGTGAAAATACTGTCAAAATAAGTGTAATTTGGGTACCCTCACGTTAAATAATAATGCGATTTGAGAAGCGAAAATAACAATATGTTATACAAGACACTGCACCATAATTAATAATACAGTAGCTGGTGATAGCTTAGCAATATTTTAATTATACCGCATTACAGTCTAACCGGTTCGAATAGATGAACGTACCAAAATGATTTTGATTCAGTTGCAGTTAATCAATTTTGATATATTTACCGATGAAGGATACAAATGGTGAAATCGCTATGTTACAATACAATTTTAAAAAGTTGAAATATCATAAACAAACAGAAGCTGTCGATTAAGTAGTATCCTCACTTCAATCACATTTAAAGATGTAAAATTGTCCGCCACTTTTAAGCCATGTGCTGAGTATATTTTTACACTATAATTAATACTAAGCCACAGCTTATGAATATTCTGATGTTAAAAATCGATTTGTTACTGTATTACTTGATCATATCTAAAAATAACGTTATTTGTATATTGTTTCCATAAACATTTTATAGTTGATGGTAATTGGGGAAGTTGGGCTTCCTGGGGTAGCTGTTCAGTAACGTGTGCAAGTGGAACACAAACAAGACAACGTCAGTGTGACAGTCCAGCAGCACAACACAATGGACAGGACTGCAGCGGTTCGGGTACAGACACACAGACATGCACTAAAGTCGCATGTCCAAGTAAGTGTTGTCAATACTTTTTATAGGATATATATATATATATTATGATTAGCATATGAATGCTTCATTTATCATACTGATATTGTTTAATATTTTCACAATACATTGAATTAATTACATCTATGATATGACGATTAAGGAATGTGATGACGCATACACATGATGTATCAATCATTCAGTGGATGTCACGAATGAAACCTTGACTGCGGATTCAGCAAAGAGAGGTGAAAGATACCAAAGGGATATTCAAACTCATAAATTTAAAATAAACTGACAAAGGTCGACCAAGATGTTTAGATATAATTAAATTGCTATTGAATAATAAAATTAAATCTTTTAAATATGCTATTAATCCATATGAGTAAATAGATGTGAGAATTTACTATATTTATAAAGTAATGTAAATTGCAACCATATGATAACATACACTCCCAAAAACTTAATTCATACAAAAGCTTTTATTTTTAGTTGATGGTATATGGGGAAATTGGGCTTCCTGGGGGAGTTGTTCAGTAACCTGCGCAAGCGGAACCCAAAACAGACAACGCCTGTGTGATAGTCCAGCACCACAACATTCTGGACAGGACTGCAGTGGTTCTGGTACAGATACACAGACATGTACTAAAGTCCCTTGTCCAGGTACGTCTGTTAAAAACTTTCTAATATAACATAATAATACTATAAACTCAATACAATGTATTTACCATAAATGGGATGTATAATATGTCAAGAAAACTCATCATAGATACCTGGATTAAAATTTTGTACGCTAGACGCGCATTTCGTCTACAAGACTCATCAGTGACACTCGAATCACAAAGGTTAGAAAGACTACATAAAATTCGAAGTTGAAGAGCTTTGAGGACCCAAAATTCCGAAAGGTTTTACCAAATACAGCTAAGGTAATACTAATCTATTTCTGGGGTAGAAAATCCTTAATATTTCGAATTTTTTTGCAAACAGTTAATTTATAGTTATGACCATATGAATGACAATTCACAACACGCTGACTTATGGGATATGTGCAATATGGAATAGTATGATTTATTTTTGATATATCAGTATCATGTTAAATATTATTATTCATATAAAATTACATGTAATTTTTGTTTTTCCAAGCTATATAAAAACAGAGTGAAAAGTTATGCTCCAGGTTTTTACTTAACTATTATAAAAAACCCAGTTACTTAGTAGATTACTATTTCTGTAATTGGCACTTTAAGTATTGATAAACGCAACACTTTGATTTAGAGTCTGTGGTTTAATAAGGTAAGATTTAAAAAAATATAGATCCAATGTTATACTAGTACTTCGATTTTAAATGATTTGAAAATCGTAATACTGAGCATCTATGCGAGATATGTTGAATGGTTTTATAAAATTTAAGTTGATGGCTTGTGGGCTGTTTGGAGTGCATGGGGAACATGCTCTGTAACATGTGCAAGTGGTACACATGACCGATCACGAACTTGTACTGATCCTGCACCAGCCCATAATGGAGCCGATTGTGTTGGGTCAGCCGCAGCAACACAAACCTGTACTTTAACGCCATGTCCAAGTGAGTAACAGTTATTCAATAAGGTTTCATTTTGTACTATATAAAAGAGTTATTTAAACACAAACAAACATTATGTTAACCCTACAAAATTTTTTTTTTTTTAAAAAGTATCAAACAAAAAAAATTAAAATGAGTCAAAGTACGTACAGAAATAGCATTTTTAAGACTTTTGCTAATATCTATCATATCTTTACAAAATGCAAATAAGCATGTTTATCACGTCTTTTTGGGACTCTTTATAGCTTGCTGTTCGGTTGAACCAAGGCTCAGTGTTGTAGGCCGTACTTTGACCTATAATTGTTTACTTTTTACACATTGTGACTTGGATGGAGAGTTGTCTCATTGGCACTCATACCACATCTTCTTATTTCTATTTACCCCCGAATTTTCTGTGACCACCTACTTAATCATTTTGTCCTGTTAGGTCAAAATGAATGGAAAACCCTGATGTAGCCCCGGGTAGGGTTCGTGTTGCTGATTAGTATTTTATGTAGTGTTTTGTAGACTGTTGTACGTTTTTGTCATGATTTTGTCGGTCTCTCATCGACTTATGAGTTTTGTTTCTCACTTTGGTATCTTCTGCCTCTTAAAAAAATTTGTTCATACAAGAATCAGAAAACCGTTTAAATCTACCATTTTCTACATAAGAAAATGCCAAATCGTTTTAATCTACCATTTTCTACATAAGAAAATGCCAAATCGTTTTAATCTACCATTTTCTGCATAAGAAAAGTGCCAAATCGTTTAAATCTACCATTTTCTACATAAGAAAATGCCAAATCGTTTTAATCTACCATTTTCTACATAAGAAAATGCCAAATCGTTTTAATCTACCATTTTCTACATAAGAAAATTCCAAATCGTTTTAATCTACCATTTTCTACATAAGAAAATGCCAAATCGTTTTAATCTACCATTTTCTACATAAGAAAATGCCAAATCGTTTTAATCTACCATTTTCTACATAAGAAAATGTCTGTACCAAGTCAGGAATATGACAGTTGTTGTCCATTCGTTTGATGTGTTTGTGCTTTTGATTTTGCCATTTGATTAGGGACTTTCCGTTTTGAATTTTCCTCAGAGTTCAGTATTTTTGTGATTTAACTTTTTTTTTATACAGAGAAATCATGTTATACGATTTTAAATGATAAATATACCGTTGATTTTTTTAAGGGTACATTTCTGGATTCTTCCACTAGTTACGTTTATATAATGACATCTTAGATTCCAATGACAAACAACAATATTATAAAAAAAGTTTAAAATGTATTATATAGGTTACAGTGCATTTGTAAAATAAGGGATTTTGTAAAATTCCTAAAATTTCAGGAGTTTTCTAAAATCACTGAACTGATTAATAATTTTATAAAATCTCTGAAATAATTAAGATTTTGTTTACAGATTCACTGATTTAAATTCAGGGAATTTCTAAAATAATCAATCTTCTTTTTATTAATAATTCATTGAAAAAAGACAAAATAAAACTAACCAAGTTCCTTGCTTAATTTATAAGGTTAGCAGTTTTCAAATAACTGAGGGAAATTAAATGCAATATATGGAAACGGGAAGATATGGAACATTTTGCTAAAGACCCATAAAAAAAGAGAAATCTAGCTCATATTACTACCTTTTTCAAAAATGATTTAATGCTTAAGTCTGTAATTGCTGATAAGTATTACAGAAGTTATCTAGTTTTTAAATGAAATATAAAGGCAGTACATTGAATTGATCTAAAGAAGAAAAAGATATGCAAGGAGTTATACATTGATTGATTAAGGCCATGCTTTCCAGTGACAAGTATTAAAAGCATATCAGGATGAGAATATATTAATGTCATGTGAATATTCTGACTAATTCATCATTGTTCACTGAGATGTTCTATATTTAGAATATCAAAACATTAAAGTTTTTATTTAAATATGAACCCTGTTTTGTGCTAGACCGGACTATTAATATGCTAGTTCACATAGTAAAAGTCCATAGGAATACATGTCACCCTACCCGGGCACATTATTCTTACTCAACCTATGTCAAATATTATCATCGAAGATTTTTCATGTTTAATCAGTAAAACGGAAATCAAATGAATATTGTCTGATTAATACGCTACTGATTTCTATCCACAAAAAAATAGTAAAGACAATAGATAGAATTTAGATTAATACTTAGTATTGGCCCTGCATTTCAACTGATAGGTAACCAACCAGGCAAAAGTGGGTCCCCCTTGAAGATTGTTTCATGCTTCACTTGTTTTAGTCATGGCTTAGATACTGTAATCTACTCCAATGCTATCACATAGGGATAAATAATTGTCTATATTTTCTCCACTTTTTAGATCAAAATCACATGGGAAGTACATTTTCTTTAATATTATCAATTATGTAGATTTGAAGTTCTTTAATGTGGAGATGTGAAAAATATGTGTGAATGTTGAAAAGCAGGCTTCTATGTGACTTCAGATGTCATTCAAACTTACAATGCAAAAATAAGTTAATTGTAGTCTTTATATTTGTACATATGCCTTTTATTCATAGTCACTTACAAAATGTGTAGACCAGTTATATATATTTAGAAACTAAAAATACATCACTGATATTAAGTTTTAACTTGTACTTAGGAATTTTACAAAATCCCTAGCAATGTTTTCAGTGATTTTACTAAATCACTAATTATTTCAGGAATTTTAAGTCCCTGATTTTACAAATTCACTGTGATATGTACACTGCTCAAAAACTAATATTACAGTTTATCTTAAATTTTGACATTTTGTTTTGGAAATACATTTTAAGAATTATAATCAAACAAAATGACCATTGCGGCTTTGGCACTAACGTATATTCAAAAATGCAAAAGAATGTAGGAAACATGAAGCATTCATTCATACAGAATTCGATTTTTCGGGGATAACAATTTTATGCATAGAAAAACAATAGCATTTTTTTTCCTTAGAGTAACCGGGATCTTATCTTTATATTACTAATAATTTAAAGGGTTTTTTAAAAATATTTCTTTCAATAATACAAGTACTTTTTAAGTTGTAACTCTGTAACTTTAAGCCTTCTTTAATAATAATATGGTCTTATTCAGTATTGATTCACCTGAACCTCTGTTTGTGTTGCCTGTTATACCGTTTTTACAGAGAAAAGTGAATTTATTATTTTGGAAATACATTTTACTACCAATTTTTTTGTGCGTTCTTGTATATTTCTTTGTTAAAAAATGTTACATTTTGCTCCCTTTTGAAAAACAGTTGATGGTGAATGGACAACTTGGACATCTTGGGGGACTTGCACTGTTACTTGTGGTGGTGGAGCACAAGATCGCACTCGATCCTGTACCAATCCTGCGCCACAACACAATGGAGCAGCATGCGCTGGTAATGGTCAGGAAACACAGTCATGTAATACTCAAGTTTGCATAAGTAAGTAAGAAGCAGTTAAGTCGTAATGTTTTAATGGATATATCACTAATTGTTTTAAAACGTTTTAATGCTTAATTTTGAATTATGAAATTTTCTATTTAAATTTCGCGAAGAATATTATCTTCTTGATGTGCAAAGACTGATGAAATGGATAAATCAAATAATAAACAAAAACAACCATATTGGCAGTATTCACAATTCCAGAAAAAGATACTGTGATACATTTTATTTTTTCTGCATTCGGTGTCGGTTGTGCTTGTTACAAAAATGAAATAGATTCGAAACCGAAACTCCTACGGTATAGTAAATTTCATAGATCATTCATCTCGGTTTCGAGCACGTTATAGGGATAGGGTTAATTTTCAGGCACGAGTTATATTGAGGGAACTACAAAGGGTATATATTCAACCCTTAATGTTGATTTTTTAAACTTTCTTATCTTTGAAGTATGTTTCAGTGTATTTTCCTTTAAAATATATCAAGTCAGAATATTTATTTAACACAGACAATAACATGTAAAGTTAAAAATAAAAGTACGAACTTTTGACGGGTATGATATATTGACCGACTAATGTAAAAAAAAAAACCACAACGTTTAATTGTTCTATTGACTAAATTTCCCTCCTTTTAATGAAAGTTATTTCCTCTGTTACTATTAAATACTTTTTCAAAAGGTGACCATTGCCAAATAACTACGCATGTCACAACTATTCGAGATAAAATCAAGTTACTTTTTGTCAAGTAAGGAATGATTAGAAATTGACAAAAGAGGGTTTACGGACAAATTAACCGACAAATTCCTGACAAAATCGGCGTATTATGATAATGAAATATTACAACTTGAAAGTTGATTCTATGATTTATATCGATATTGAGCAGATTAACTTTTAAACTACATGACATAAAATTTGAGGTAATCGGTATCAAAATCCGGTACATAAATATTTATAAACAAGCGTACATCTTTTGTTTTCTTCTTATACTGCCAATGCATTACATCTATATTGAAGTAATGATACGAAACGCATCTGACCTTAGCAAAACGATTCCCAGCAGTAAAGGACTTTAAAATCACCCAAACTTTCGTATCTTCATTTTCAGGGAACGATAATTAATTAACCCTAGACCTGTGAAAACAACGCTTTAAATTGTGTTCACATTTTTTTTTAAATTTTTCGCTGTGCAACAATAATCAGACCAAGAAATAAAGGTGTCCTGTTACCACCGTGTATGATAAGAGGACACCTCTAACCTTTAGAATTTTTCTAAACGTCTGTCGATGACTTTTTGAGTAAAAAATTTGTCTAACTAAATATTTTGGACTTGAGAGTATTTCAATAGATTCAAATGAATATTTCAATCTAACGTTTGAAGCAAAGTATGATTTAACATTCTACAAGAGTCCACATGCAAACACAACTTGGAACATGTTTTTTTTTTCACTTGGGGCCACCAACCCTTTGGAGACCCAAATTTAATCTTCTCACGCGTTGTTTTCGATATGCAATGACAATGGCGATTACCTCAGCCAACTGATAACTTCAATACACCTTTCAGTGTCGTGGGAGGGCAGCCTTAAAGAAACAGGAATTCACATGTTTACTAAAATGTATATGTAATTGGTGCTTTCAAAATCACCCAACAAGATAGATTCAAACATTTTGGTCTCAAACATCACCAAATTTGTCGAAATATGCATGTGAAACGACAAGGTATTACTTCAGAACTGACATGGAAAAAGGAACATTTTTTTTTTAATTTGCTGTTTTTGGTAATACTTTTTAAATTAAGGGATGTATCTCTCTCATACACAGCTCTGATTCCTTGTCGAGGTCGGATCTGGTGCTGTAAAATTGATACCGTTAATGGTATTATGTCGTACAGCTAAATCCATTTGAATACCCTACTTAGACTAATATGGAATTTACTGACCCCATATATATCTTATTAGGTCACTAGCACACAATGTAACGAATTCATCTTACCGACTATCTTAACATGTGGTTTAGACTAGTGGCCTATCAAAGTAATCAAGTCTTCAATACCGTTAGTATTAAGAACCTACTTCCATTGGTATATACAAAAACAAATGCCAACAATAACAACTTGTTAGCTTTTAATGTGTTTTATGAATTTATTTCAATCGTTCATTATTAATTTCTTTGTCTGTTGAAACCTTTAAGATTTTTCCTCAACACCGTGTTGTTTTCATAAAAGGACGTAACACCACTACTAACCGTGTATTGAAAGAAGTCCCGCCTACTAATCCAATATGGAATATACACGGTCTCTACGCGGTTGTTTTAACCAATCATATTCCTAGAAATGTATAGGAGGTAAGATAAATGCAGATATATATTTACTTGTCTTCATTAAAGAATTGAATACACAAAGATTTTTTCCTCAAACAGTTGATGGCGCATGGGGACAATGGCAGTCATGGGGTGTGTGTTCAGTCACTTGTGGGGGTGGTCGTCAATCAAGAATGAGAGTATGTGATGATCCAAGACCAGCTAATGGCGGACTTCATTGTGGTGGTTCATCAAGCGAATATGGATACTGCAACACAAATGCTTGTCCAACAGCAGCATATGGAGCATATGTACAAGTAAGATTTGATAATTTAGAAGCAATATTCGTGAAAAATTATATTTGTTTTTCTCATGTTTTTTTTTGTAGCAATTCAAAACAAATTAATTGAAACGATGCTGAACATCGATACAGTGTAAAAGTATAACATATATAGCATATCTTTTTTCATCTCAAAAATTATAATATCAGACATTTATATGGCACGAGAATATTTTTTGTTAGTAGGGTTAACTTATATTCCCTCAGTATCTATTCACAGCAGATTTGCATTTCGTTGTAGACATGTCCAACAGGTTGGTTTTCATGCCAGCATGGGTCCGTTTCTTGTATAGATGAAACATTTAAGTGTGACTGTGAGGAGGATTGCGAGGATGGCAGCGATGAGACGACGTCATATGCAAGCTGTAATCCACAAATTTTGGCGACCTGTCCTAGTGGTGCAGATAGTAAGTAATGTCTAAGGAAATACTACTAAAGATTCTAGAACTGATTCGTAGAATAAAAAAAAAATGATTTCAATGTTATTTCAGGATACTGGATTATACTCGAAACTATAGTACGGTGTTGGTACTTTGACAATAATTATAACCTTACAAAGTAGTATTACTTAAGGTATAATTCACTATCCTCAATAAAGGAATGTTAGTTTTAAATGTCATTCTGATCTTAGCATTATCTACATGTCTGGAAATGAAAAAGTTCGTGATAGTGAAAATATTTTTTATATTTATCACTTATAGTACTTGTGTGTAGACTTTTCGCATAATATCGATCGAGTGGCTTCGAGAACAAAACTACTTATAGAAAAACAAAGGATATGGGGATACTAATTTTATTGTCATTGTTGTGTAGTGTATTTCTACCCATTGTTTTCATATAACTTCCAAACTTAGTTCTTAATGTTGAATTCAAAAAAATGTTAAATGAGTTATTTTTTAAATTTGTATTTATCTTAAACAAAAATTGCTTTTCGCAAATAGATATTGTTTCGGGCATTATAGCTGCTTTGGATAAATTTAAGATCTGTGTAATACTAACTGTCCTTTTGAAAGGTTCGATAGTTGTGTATTTAGGCTAATATTTGAAAACTACAGTCCTTTTTCAACTCCGAATCAAGAAATTGCTAAATTAACACCGAAACATGCGAGAAATTTGTTGCATTTATGGTCATTGTCTTTCCGCAAGTTTGACGTAAGCGATACATGAAAAGCTACATAAAAGTTGAACTGATTGATTGTTGTCTGCTACATTCAGGGGCAAATATGTCATTAGTATTAAGGATGAGAACTTATGAAACATAAATTTGAAAATTTCTACAATATAGATGGAAAAGCATTGAAGGACAAAAATATCGTATACCACTGGGAAATTAGACTCTCTTGGAAGGGACAGAACAATTGCCTTGCAACAGGCTACCCTAGGGCTTAAAATAGTTGTTGCAAGAAAATTTTAACGGGCAAAGCATGTTTAACTCTCCCTTCACGAGATATGTTGTTATGGATAACTTGCAAATCACTGAAAACTAGTTAAACACCACATGTATAGGGAAAAAGGGGGGGGGGGGGGAGGATGTGATGACTCCATGTTATTATTTTTCAATTAGATGACCGATCTATATAGTTCAGTTATATTTGATTCTATTTTTATCATGTGTTTTTATTCTCAAAAATTCAAAATGCTTTTTGTATTCTTTCTTTTTCTAGAAATATCAACCATTTCACTTGCCACTGTTGTTTGTATGATTGGAACAATACGAATGATGTTGATGGTCCTTTGGTATTAATGAACCGGATAATGATTAAATGTGATACACGACTTACTTAGTTTGTATCTGATATCATATGTGTATCGTCTATATAATATATATGTCTGACTCCTCTTAGGAGTTGTATAGTCATAAAGATGGGTAAAAGATTAAAATATTTCTTTGACTAAAGGTCATGAATCCGTCACACATTTGATCTTTTTCTTTTGGTTTTAAGAGAGTACATGTTTTCTACCTTTATGGTTCTTGATTTCATAATGTTAGGTTTGAGCGTTCATTATGAAGGTATATCCAGAAAAGCGCTTCATGCACACGAAATTAATAAAGTGTTTTTTTTTTTTTTTCATTTTATGAACATAAAGTTAATATGTTTGTATAAAGTTTAGAACAACATTGATTTTCACAGAAGAATATGTATATGAAACTATTTGATATAACATGTAAGAGTGCTAGTTTTCTCTGTGCACATCTTTAAAAAGCACGTAAAAAGGTATGACAAATTTATAAAATGTTATTTTCATTTTATGAACACATAGATAATATGTTATAGATAATAACAAGAAAAAGGGTATCACAAAAATCCTGCACTTATGGCATAATACAAATCATTTTACTTTTTTTTCAAAAACAAACATGAAATCACCGAATATATACTGACGAAAATGCTGTGTTGTTTTGTCTTATTTTGTCCGTGTTGCATGTTGTTTAATAAACTTCTGTCAGCAAATATTTTAATTTTGGATGTAACGCGTCTTCTGATTGGCTGACGTTGTTTTGTTTATCAGCTCATAGACATAATTTTGTCATGTGACCGTGACCTCATCAACGTTTTTTCATGGTTTACTCCGGTTTAAAATGGAATTTAGAATTAAATTATAAGAAATGACTGTAATATTTTTTCTGTATATACGCGGGTTATTCAGTGTGCACCACATTTTTGATGTTATTTCTTCATAGACAGAAAAAATATTACAGTCATTCCTTAAATATTAAATGAATTATCATCCCATGCCATGACTTATTTCCATCACTTTATAAACTTTATAACTCCTAATGACAAACTTATGTTATCTTTTATATTTTGAAAATAATTTGCTATCAAGTTGCAAGAAATCCAAATAGTTTAGTATATGGTGTAAGTATAAATGAAGGAATAAAAGGAGGTAATTTTTCTATGTAAGGAATTTCTACTTTGATTTTGGTTTCAGTTATACCGAGCCGTTGCCTCGGTATCATCATTTACTTGTATTTGTGTGTTTAACGTATATGTTATGCAAAACCGATACTATATAGATGCATATAGAAATGAGGAGATGTGGTATGATTGCCAATGAGACCACTATCCAACAGACTTAAAATGAAGTGGTCGTAATCAATTCTGTCCTTCAACAACATGCTATTTTCAAATGACGTTTTGTATATCTATTTGTGTAGAATGCTAGAGTGCCTAAAACATAATTCAATCCCGTCACACCTTGATGCGCCTATTACACAAAGGAAAGCCTTATAGATAAATTCCGAAACCTTTAACAGTTGAGATATAGTACATGCACTGACACATTCCTATTGTTAAAGATTGCATGGGTTTTTTTCTGGGTGTATTGCGTTGTGGTGTTGCTATTTCAATAATTCAAATGAACTGCCCCTTTTATCTACGCACCGACAAACAATTTTCGACTTTTTGTAGACTATTTTTTCAATATCCTGCATACATTAGAAATATGTTTTGAAAATCAATGTCGTTTATGATTTTTTCAATTTATACCCTAATTTTCAATAGAATCTAAATTGTTGGGATCACTCCTCTTCTTAAACATTTGTTTTTTTCAAGAAACTTAGAATCAAACAATTTATTAAAAAAACACGTTCCAACAAAAAAATTAAAGTTTGATCCCAAAAGGAAAACTAAAGTATACTATATTTCATATAAGGTTAACAATGTGTCCTTAAATTGTTTTCTGCAGTTTCATAGATAATGAGGTTGGATTATTGACTTGCAATCCAATTATACAACAGTGATATTTTGTGTTAATTTTTACAAAAATAAATCAGCCTGACTACTAGTTGCGAACTATTATTTTCAATATTCTGCTTTTATTAATGTTTGAAACTGAAAAAAATATTTTTTCATCTATATATAAATAGATAATAAATATGAGGTGCACAACGATTTAGGAGGCTGTTTGTATGTTCTTATTTTCTCTTAAAATGATGAACATACAACCAGACGAATATTTGCTCAAATAAAAAGATTGAAGAACACAATCACACACGTTGTGAGCTCTCAAGTTGTTTGGAAGGGTAAGCAGTTCCTGGAAACACCCGTGTTGCTCATTTCAAGTAAGCATACATTTTATAAGTCGCATTCAGTGATGCCTTCAAAAAAAAGAAAACGAGTTTATAGTCTCACGATATGATAAAGAATTTCTTTATCAAGGTAATTGAGGAAAACAAGGTCGATTGCAGGAAAATGTAAGTCAAGTCATGTCTGTGTAAAAAGTCAAAATTGATCTTGTGATAGTGGGTGAAGGTTTTAAAAAGTTTTAAATTTTGTTTCATGAACTTTTGCAACTTTCGCCTGGTGTTGATTTATTGCTGATTCTTTATGGACTGTGTCAATAACTTATAAAGAAAATTAGGCAAAACAAGTTTGTTAATTTTACACTTGAGTATTTGAGGATATAAAATGTTGCATCTTACCAAGCAAGAAGCCACAAATATCCATCTCTACGTAAAGTTTTTGTAGCTTTTTGTCCTTTTAAAAGATAGCATAAGATTTTTTTTTCCAACTATGTTGCCTAAGTAAACTGAAGATCAACTCTCTCGGGCAAAGTTATCTCTTATTTTTGGGCTTCCGAAACTAGTAATGTTATCCCAGAAACATATGTCCTGCGCGTGGATATCAGTATCAAAAGTTTTAAGTCTCAATGTTCATCAAAAAGGTTTGAAAACATCACATAGAGAAATTCATCGAAAGCAAGTTAAACGTCATTGTATACCTCATGCTTTATTGTTCTTACGAACGATTTGCTTTAGATTTCCACAGCAAAACATGGACTTCAGCAAAGTAGCGGCGGTGTGAATTTGTAATCTCTATAAATAGTTTTTTAGTTTGATTTGAATGTTTGAATTGATTTATTCATTTCTTAATCTACTGTAGAAAAATTAAAGTTTATCATTCACGAAATATATGAAAAAAAAATTATATTAAAAGGTTATGACAGGTTTTAAGGTTAAACTTTCCATTGCTAAAGTTTTATGGATAAAACTAGTCTTTCCTTTGCTAAAGTTTCGATTTTCCGCTGATATTTGCCACCTCTTTTTATATTCTATTGCATGTATGAGTTTTCTTGACGGACGATTTTTACATAGTCGACACATATACAAGCCTTATCCAATTTGCAGTTTAAACACACCTTGACCGATAATTACGATCAAACGTTAGGATTAGCACATATTTTCATAAATGGTTGTTTCATAATTTTATAATCCCATTTTAATTTATATGAGTTAATCCGAACATACTGTGCTACTGTATATACTGTGGTGAATACATTAAGCACTTACAAAACTGAAACCAGATGAATTATAAATTTAAATTGAATTCACGTTATGTAATTTATTTGATAGTCGATCGCCCCTTTTTCTGGATAAGTCTATGATATAGCAGATTTATATGAA